GGGGGAAGAAGCGGGGAGGGGGAGATAGATGAAATCTGCAAAGATGGTGGGGGGGGAAGGAGGGAAGAAGAGGATGTCCTAGGAACAAATGCACCAATCGGGATCAACGGCTCATCATACAAACTAACAACGTTTCCCAGACAGACGACAGCGGCAACAGACAAATTCAGAAGAAAGCCCTTAAAAGGGGGGCATTTGCGGTTTTATGAAAGCTGCACCATCGACTGATTCAAGAAAGTCTGCAGGTTTCCGAGAGCCTCCTGGTTCAGCGCAGAGGTGAGAACAGCCCCAATCTAAAGGTGGCAAACAAAAGAAGATGGAGAAATTGGCAAACGAAATGTGGCAGACACCCAAGCTGGATGGCCAGGAGTCACGTACGACAACTTTTACTGATTTCGGCGTCAATAGCGGTATTTCTACACCACTGCAGGCTGGAAAATTATCTTAACGATATTTTGGTCGTGAACAGTGTAGAATCGCTTTCAAATAGCAGAATAAGACAACCGGCTGTAATTGCGCCTCGGAGGCCGACGCCTCGCAGGCCAAGAAAGAGCGAGACTGCCTTCAGCCATTAATGTTTACGACCAAGCGTGGTAATCGTACACGATCAACAAAATGTCAACAAACCCCAGGGGAATAAAAGTATTATCCCAGCGATCGAGTCGTCTTCGTCTTCTTCTTCTCAAAATGTCACATAATAGGCACGCGAAGAGGGTAGCCAATTGGCCTCAGGGAAATATCCTCACTAACAATAAACGAGACCCGTTTCTGCTACTGCTGATGTCTCTGATGAAGACATTAGCAACGGATGTTGAAACGTCAGGCGAATAAAAGTCTTATACCGGCGATCGCATCTTCTTCTTCTCAATAAACTACTCATTAAACTCGCCGATGAACGTTCACCTGACCGTTACCGGAACTCATCTGTCCCACTCTGCCTCGGGTCTCGACAGAGATCCTGACAGGCGTAACATTTGGAAGTAGGCAGATAGTATTGCCGACAAAGACAAAGGATACTGGAATGGTCATTTCTGGCTTACTGGCCATCGTCAACCAGCCATACCCAGACCCAAGTGGTGTCCCACCCGAGCCTCGAACTCGCAACCTTTTGATCATAGTCAAATGCCCTAATCACTGAGCCACAAGTTATTGAACTTTAAAAACAAAGCAAATATTATTGAAGAAGAATTTAAAGAACGCTTAACTGTTATCAAAAGTATTAATACATTAGTGGTTAAGTATTCAGCACACAGTTCAGTATACGTTAGGGTAATGGACACAGTCTTTGAAGACGCTACTTTGCACATGCACAGTAAAATTGAAACAAATATGCTACTGTGTGGTTTTCAGTAACACTGGCATTGTGGATAATCACGCAAACGCTGGCTTTTTGGTTCGGGTGGGTTTGCAAAGGTGGCGTGACTACAAGAGAGCTCATCCAGAAGGAAATGAAATATGCTATAGCCGAAATTAGTCCCGATAGCCTTTTCAAGCATCAGAGACTGCTCTAACACACATTCGGGCATCGCGAAAGAAAGAACCAAAATAAGCAAAAAAAAAAAAGCGACGAACCTTTCCGGGCACACGGGTCGACAGAGCTCCGAGTTTTGTGGAGAGATAGGCGCGTGGATCTGTCACCTCGGGACAGAGATCAGGTAGACGATAGGAGGCGAAAATGAGCGAGTAGGAGGCTGGCGGAGGGGAGGGGGGAATGGTTAGAAGATGCCTATGCCTCAGGACTGACAAAAAATTGGGAATCAGACCATTAATTATACGAGTCCACACGAAAGGAAGTGAGCTGATCCCCCTGTTTGGATATGCTTGAGCAGGTTGCAGGATCGTGATTGGTGGCAAAATGCACACCACCCACGGCATGCACGGCACGCAGTAAGGAGCTACTTTCCTTATGAATCGATAATCACCAGACCCAATAACTGTTAACATGTCGTGACAGCTCTATTTTCGAGAATCGGCGTCGAATGGAATCACACACTCTCATACGCCATTAACTTTTGTCCGAGTCTATGCATCTCCACATTCCCCTACAAACGAAGCCACAAAGTAAAACTGATGGTAGCCTTTATAAATCTTGATTGAATCACGTAAACTGAAACAGTTTTGGAATCTACAGCAACGTAACGGACCCAAAAATACGGTGGTATAACCTTGGCCCATTGCAGGCATCACCACGTCCTTTACCTGTAAAAACCGGTAGACACAATCGCTGAAAAGACTATTTTCATCATAAACTGCATTTTGAAAGTTGCGAGACCTTAAAATGAACCATTTTGAGGTCACTATGGGAAAGAGGGATACTGATGCACTGGCATCACAGAGACTCACAACTGTAAGTTAGAAATGACTGGCACAGAGCCTTTACTACTGAAATCTCTGTACTAATCTATCACAGAGTTAATCCGTCCTAGTCTACTTTGCATAACTACTGAATTATTTAGTAGAAGCAACTTTTGTTTTTAATACTTTTTAACACACATTCGACATAGTTCATCCACATATTGCGTTGTATCTTCCCCCCTCACAGAAACATTTAGTGAAACCCGACTACTTTTTATAGGCTAGGCTGTGTCACCCAACACAAAGGCACGACATATTCCGTTCACATGTTACATCGCACCCCCAATATACATCTTTAGTGACAGAAAGATACACAGAAAAACACATTTTTATCCTTGCACAGTGAGGTTAGTGCATTTTGTATTCATAATCCATCATAAATACTACCAACAGTCTTCCAAATGCTACTTTACTACAACAGTACAAGGTACCCGTTGTCTAGTTGAAAAATTAGATTCATATTTTCAGATCCAGTTAGTGTTCGACTTTCCGGACCTCGGATTCCATTCGAGTCTAAATTAACGCAAACTGCTTTTTGTTTACTTTTTAATTATCACGCGCTTGCCCGGTGCTATGTATGAACCTTTTATAATAATCCTGGGCGGGTGATACAGTAGTCGCCGGCTATTAAGCCCACCTCGGGCCCAGACCAAATTG